AAAACAGTCTATGCTGTCTCTGTTTTCTCCTTGACACTGGCTGCTGGGGGCACCTTCAGGTGGCTTCAATTGTCTATGAAAACTTTCCGAGAAGAAGTTCTGAATTATGAATGAATTTGCTTCATCAGAGGAAGATCTCAGCTCCAGCAAGGGGATTAGGTCTCAGGCAGGAGATGCTCTTATTTACAATAGAGCCGGCTGTGCACACATACCGTGTGGTGGATCCCATTGCCAGTACCCGGATAATGAGATTAGCTGCTTTAATTTAATCAAAGGGAGAGGCACGTGGAGTCCACGTACAGGGCGGGCAGGAGCCTGGAGCACCTGGGAGCAATTGCTGGGCAGTGTCAAGCGAGTGCCTCTTAATGACCCCCTGTCCCTCACCCTGCTCTGCCCGCCTAGCAGGGGTAAATGAACAGCCCAGGTCTCTGGCACGCGTGGAGCAGTATTTGCTTTCATTGTGCTCAGGTGATAAGGGATGACTTATCAGGCAGTTTTTTCCCCCACTTTTAGAATTTTTCTCATGCTGAAGCAATGAGGTGGGAGCACAAAGGCAGCAGCAGTGACGYGTATTGGCCGTCGTGGCCCTGTGTCCTGCTGGCCAAACCGCCCAGCCTGAAATCCCAGCTAACTGTTACCAATCCCCAGGCTGAGTTCGTAAGCAGTTAAGCCGCCTTGGAGAAAGGCAGGGCCAGGGCAGGGGGCTTTTCCCACCACCCTGCTCTGTGRGCAGTGACTTCAGGGCACCAGGATCCCCAGGCTGCCCTGCCGGTGCCTTTGGCCACCCTGGGTTTTCMCTGCACGGAAGGAGCCTTCCCAGGCGCTATTTCCCATGGGAGCACACGCTGCCCCCTGCACTGAGCCTGCTCGCCTCGTCMCGGCTTTAACCCTGCAACGGGCCCTGCAGGGACCTGCTGGGATGCAGGCAGGGCCGGGGCCAGCGCCACGAGCAGCCCCTCGCAGACCGGCSGGCTGCCCGCGGGCAACGCGTTGACAGCAGCAACAGCTCTGTCGAAAATGTGTCAGACCGAGCCACGTTTATGGGTCATGGAAGAGCAGCAAGATGTAGCAGCACCTCTCGGCTCAGAGCTGAGAGGTTCTTTACAAAGAAGGAATTTTCTTCTTTTTCTCCTTTTCTTTTCTTTTTCTTTTCTTTTCTTTTCTTTTCTTTTCTTTTCTTTTCTTTTCTTTTCTTTTCTTTTCTTTTCTTTTCTTTTCTTTTCTTTTCTTTTCTTTTCCTTCAGGAGCTTCTCCACAACAAGATTTACTAAGGGACGTTACATAAGAGCTGTAATAACCCTCAGTAACCTCGCTGCTGCTTTGCTGGCTTCTCCTGCCACTCCTACACCATCAGGAGCCTGTCCTCAGCAGCAGGCAGCAGTGCCCAGTGCTTGCCCCAGGGCAGCCTATGCGGGGGCACCTTCTTGGCCTTGCTCAACTGCTGCATGGGGTGGCAGGGAAGTGCACAGGGCATGGCCAGTGGAGGAGCAAAACGCTGCAGCTGCAGAACACCAGCAAGGCCAGGGTCGCGGTGCATCGGGGAAGCTCTGGGAGGAGACGGTGACTCACAGCACTGCCTGCAGTCAGCCCTCGGAGGAAATTAGTAACGTGAAGGGGAAGAAAATTACCCTAACCAGAAAATTTTAACCTTAAAAAAAGAGAGAAGGAATAAAAGCTGGTTTTGGAGGAGTCTCTGAGGAAACAGTGAGACTTGCTTCCCTGTGGGTGTTCATTTCCTGGGGCAGCCTCTCTCATACTGGGGCGAAGGACCACCAGATAAAACATGGTGAGACACATGGATCCTCTGAAAGGGAGCCCGTACGCAGGGCTATGTTGCAGCTTGCTGGCCAGAAGTCCTTTCCCAGCACTTGCTGACCTCRTGAGCATTCAGCAGGGAGCACCTCGTGTCTGTTGAGCTGGCGGGAGAGACCGTCCTGTCTGCTCATGGCTGGCTTGCTTGCCCAGGGAGAGCCGTCACAGGAGATGACCCTGCTCCAGAAGTCTTTTGGGGGGAAAAAGTCATTGCATTTTAACACCATTTATTAGCAATTTTGAAAGAGCCCAATTTCCAGAGCAGATGCTCCAAAGCGCAACAAGTAGATGCAAAATATTGATGTTCACTAAGTGCTTGTACTTCACAAGTCAGCGGGTTATTGCAGCCCAGGAAAGCGATCCTCCTTCCTTCCGCTGAGCTCTGCCAACTGCAGCAGAAAGCACCATAAAACATACGTTTATGGGGCCTGATGAGCCCTGCAGTGTGCTGGTAGCCAGGATTTCTCCAGGGGAACTTCTCCATGGCCCCAGCTGGTGTTTTGGCCAGGCACAGAGCGCTCAGCTGCCCTGCTGCTGTCATGGCAAGGAAGATGCTGGTGGCCTCACGTATCAAGCAGCGCTAGGGCTGTGGGCTGGAAGCTTTCCCTGCAATACTTGTTTTTCCTATCCAAGCACCAGTGGATTTTCCCCAGCAGTATTTCTGGCCGGTGCGCTCCACGAGCCAGCCAAGGTTTGGTGCAAGGGGGTCATCGTCGCTCTGTTCCGTGCTCCTCCTCATCCAGGGTGTCCCCAATGGCCATTGTAGACCTGAGAAGCAAGTGCTGAGAAGGGGAGGAAGCATCCCAGAAGAGGCAGAGCTAAATAAAAGTGATGCCTGGACCAACAGAAGCTGCCAGCTATTTAYCCAAACACCACTTGCCCATGATGGAGCAGGAGGAAGACATTTCAGAGCTGCTGCAGGAAACTCGTCTTCCTGACGTGACAAAAATCACGCTGCCCACCAGCTCCTCCCAGTGCTGCACAGCCCAAAGGCAGGTGAGCCAGTGGGTACYGACCTATTTCTGCTGCTCCAAACCACACACAGCCCTCAACTGCAGCTCCTGCTCCAAGTCACCTGCTCCAGCACCAACAGCAGCCGCTCCCCCTTCCCTCTAAGGGACCACCGAGTTCTTGTAAAGAAGWAACCAGTGCAAGCGTTGTTCTTGAATATGTATTTTTACTGAAAAAATCATTCATAAATTAACAAATACAAAAATGTACAAACACATGGGTAAATAAATGTAATGACACAACGGATTGCTTTGCCGAAAAGTGTGTGTGTCCGTGTTTTAAAACACTAGTCTTCAGTGCAAAAATGTCCCCCTGGCACCTCTTAAAAACATAACAGTAAGCTCAAAAGCCATGATGATGGAAAGATACTTTATAGTTTAAAGCCACTAGTGACTAACAGTGTGTTGCTCAGATGGTACCTCCCTTAGAGAAGTGGAGCTTTACAAATAATGAGCTGTAAATAAATAGTTTTGTAAATAAAACCCACATGGCTCATTTAATTAAAGAAAAGAAAAAAAATCAGCATTGAACAGAACCTGCCTCCTGCAGGGCTACAGACGGTGGTGACATGGAAGGGGCGAACAAGTGGCCTTGTTGAATCTCAGCTGCCAGAATATGTACAAGTTCTTTAATACGAGAATTTTTACACCATAATAGCACATGCGCTTGACAGTATGTTTTTAAACAGATACATTTACTATACAGTATTTGACATAGCTAATAACTTTAACAGTGCACATTTTTAAGATATTCCACATTTTAAAAAGGGAAAAAAAAATCCAACGTGATTAGAACAAAGGAACTATGAACAGTGATGTTGTTTTGGGGCGAAATGGACCCTTTTGTGCCAACCTTAAACGAGTGCATTTCTGAGCAGAGGTAATTGTCTTTCTTTGTTCAACACAAGGTGCAGCGGATGTCAGGTACACAAAGGCTGAGGATTCAAACTAAAGTAGTTTAACACCTACCCACACACACATGCATGATTCCTGCGGTAGTGAACTTGGACTAGTTGAAATACATTCCTTGTTTGAAGCACCATTAAACAAAGACAGGTTTCTAGCAACGTCTCAAGATTAAAGAAGTGAGGGGCAGGGCAACGAGGGTTTAGCATTTGAAAAGGGTCCACGTGAATCCGAGATCTAGATTCAGAAGCAAAAGTCTTTATTGCTATATGCRCCATAAAAAGCAAATCCTCACCTCTGCCTATGAATAACCATGTTGAATTCCCTCAGGAAGCAATTTTAAAGCACATGTAAATTCAAAGACTTTAAACCTAAGCTACAGGCTTATCAGCGCTTTTCAAGGGCAGCCTCACTGTCCTCTCATACTGCCTGATAAGATCGACACAACAAGAACTCCATGTTTTCTAAACTAACATTTTCTTGATACGTTTTAGGAATGCCCTGGGCAGTCACACCCACAACAGATGTGTATGGGGATCATACGTCCACGGAACCAAGAAAACCAATGTAAACCATGAAAAGTTAAGGAAACTGAAGGCAAACAATGCAATAAAAAAAAAAAGTTAAAGTACTTCTGAGGTCAAATACTCACAATTGTTATACATAAATACATAATTAAAACATAACCCCCCAAAGTATTATTTTTAAATCAGAGAGGTCCAGTAAAAATGACTGTGTACATGCTGTGTAACTCATGGGCTGACTTTCAAAGAAAGATGGAGGAGGGGAACTTTGTAAAGGTACAACCTCAAAATCCCAAATTAGTTGTAAAGGAGGAAGAGGAAGGGAAAAATGGGAGGGAAAWTTTCAAATTTAGATGATGGGATGTTGAACCAAGACCCTGAGTTCTTGGTACTCACGTTTTCATGAACTTCACCTATAAGTCCTTCATTTTTCTCACTATTCCTAATCTGCAGACAAACTACCCCACTCGCTGCACTTGTGCAAGTGCTTTCAGGTGGTTAAGGCTGATAGCCAAGTGTCCTACCTAGCTCTAACTTACATTAGTTCAGTGTACTGTTAAATTTACACAATAAATACAAAATACTATTCCATAAAACAAAACCCCAAACCATAATGTTACCGTAGAGGAATCGCTGCAGACTTGTTCACGGGGGGCGGGTGCTGTGAAGTGCAGCCAGCTGCCCCATCCCGAGGGCGGGAGAAGCCCCCCGAGGGTCTGTGAGCGGAGGCCGAGGCCTCCCGGCCTCCACAGGTGCCCAGGGGGTTGATGTCTGGGAACTTGACCACCCTGCCAAGATTGAGCTTGCCATCCAAGGGGCATCCACAGCAACAGGCAACGGATTCCATCCCCTATGGCTTTCAGGCTAATTTGTGTGTTATGCATCAGAAGTGACAGAAATGGGATTCCCTCTCCCCCTAAATATTCCCATTTCCTCCCTCTCCCTGGTAAGCACCACCCGCGTGATTTCTGCAATGAGTGATGACATRGCTGCATTTATCCACTGCTACATTTTAAAGTTTAGGGCCCTGTTCCACGAACATTTATGCATATGCATAGCTTAAATCATGCAAGCAGTCTCACTGGCTGAAAAGGGAACAACTTGCACAAGTACAGTGATGCACACACAAGTGCTTACAGAATCCAGGACTAAAATAAGTGACCTTATGTAAACCTCTAGCTTGGATCTGAACCATAGAAGAAAATAAAAAGGGGCAATTTACACAGCATATTTACACTTACACTTCTTTAAGAAGCGATTCTGTTGTATATACTTCAAGCAGGTCATTTAAAAAACCGCACAAACATAGAACGGTATCAGAAGTCTTGTTTGATCTCCCAGCTGGGGCAGTTGCTTCCGACCGTGCCAGTCGGGAAGCCAGAGTCACTGGGCCGAGCCGGCTCGCAGGGAGGGACGCGGGTCYGCGTCGGGCCCCGGCGCTGGAGATGCTGGAGGTGGAATGTGAGACGAGAGCAGCAGTTCAAATCGTTGTCCTGAAACCCGGAAAGCGAGTGGCGGGAAAGGAAAGAGACTGCTGAGCTCGCTGCACGAGTATCGGGTTGGATTGGTACAGCAAGGACAATTTGTGCGTGCGCTTTCAGCCTTATTCTCCAAAATACTGTGATCCTTCATTAGCCAAAGTATTTCTTGTCCTTGATAACCCTTAGAAAAGAAAGTCTAAAGCGGCGCTTTCTTGGTGAAGGGCAGAGCAAAGTTATTTTCTCCTCTTAATATTCGCTCACCAGAGCCAGCTCTGGTGTCAGGTTAACAGTGATGTTCTTATACAATGCGTCATACGTGACGTTTGGAAAGTAGTTCAAGTTATTGAGGCCGTCCAGGGCTTGCCTTTCTTTCGACTTCCTCAGCAAGGCGTACCTGTTTGGAGAGAGCAAGAGACCATTGGATTCACTTCCCTGCACTGCACGGAGCTGCACACAGTCTGGCTGACAGATGCAGAAACACGCCTACAAGAGTTGACCCCTATCCAAAGCCACAAACCAAAATGTCTGGGCCCTTGTTAAAGCTGCCTGTCATCTTTTACCTGCTCCTCCATGTAAACACCCCAAATGCTTTAGAAAGTTGGAGCCCGTGAAGTGACAGGGAAGAAAGTCATTCAACATCTGCCTCCCCAAAGCCAGGAGTGCTCCCCAGCCAGCGAGCCTCTCAGAGAAGAGCGGAAGCCAAAAGGTGATGTGGACATTTCTGAGGAAACTGGGTGGCCCCCCCAAGCAGGGACTGTCTGCAAGTGAGGGGCGATGAGGAAGTAAAACTAGAACAATCTTATTTTGGGGAAGGAAACTGCTGCTGAAGCACAAGAAGGGCCTCGATCAAGTTTGGGCACAGCACAACTAGACACAAGACCTGAGGCGGGAGGGGGAAACAAGGCAGGAGCCCCTGGGCAAGCCAGGACTGCAGACGAGCTGTAGTGCAGTGCAGCCACGCTGAGCACTGGGAAGCAGGGACTGGGACCCCGAGGGGCTGGGAGACGGCAAGAACACCAGGAATTCACAGGGCACGAGGAAGAGGAAGATGTGGGGTTGGGCAGAATAAGGAAGGAGCAATGCTAGCTTCAAAGAAGTCACTTCTTTCCAGTGAAGATGGAAAGTGCTTTGTGGGATGTGGGGCCGGGTTCTCCGGCTGCCGGGGAGAGCTGCAGTGCTGCTGGGCTGCGGAGAGCTGGGAACAAAGCGGCTGCAGCGCTGCGAGCTGGACAGAGGGAAAAACCACCCTGCAACRCGCCCAGGCAGCAGCGGGGCTGGCTGGGCCTGCAGCAAGACTGCCCTCGGCAGCGGAGCGAGCAGCCGGAGCAAGGGTGTTAAGCTCAGCCCCACGCTTTGCTGCTCTGCGTYGCAGATCTCGCCCCGGACCAGCGGATCCAGAGCTAAGCTGCTCCCTAAACACGGCTCATGGCTGCAGCCAGGAGGGAGCTGGGAAGCGTCAGTTCAAGGGGCTTCGTGGTGGTTGAAGAGATGCTGTCTCCTTCCTCCCTGCGAGCGCGAGGAGCGACAGACTAGGGAGCCCTCGGCTCCCACTGCCCAGGGCTGGCAACATCCCAGCACGAGGACTCATCCCGCTGCAGTTCAGGCTTTCAGGGATTTGACTGAATGTGGCTTTTATTAAAAAAAAAAAAAAAAGAGAGACTTCCCTGATCTTTGCAAGAGTGAAACAAGAACTACCTCTTGCCAGCTGTACTGTCCAACACAGGAATGAAAATTAGAGCCAATGCGTGCGTATAACCTTAAAAGGAAACTCCCCAAAGAAGTAATTCACTATCAGAAAAGACTGAAGATCAGCACAAAAGTTCATTTCTCCTCTGAATTCGCAGCTAGTTCAAAGAGGCTTTGCAAACAGGCCCTCCTTGCTGCCCCTTCTCCTGCCAGCAGCAGACAGGAGCCCCTGTTCAGAACAAAGCTTGCACTATGCAGCAGCTCGTGATCTACCACTGCTAATTCCTGCAGTTGTTTAAACAACAACAAAATAAATAAATAAATGGGAAAAAAATTAAAGACAAAAAGATATTTCTGTTATTTTTGTTGCAGTTTTTGGAAGACTCAAATTCCACCAGGGCCCTTCACTGCATTCAGCCATTCACTGAACCATTTAACTCTCAGAAACAGTTCTGGCTCATGGATGRGAGAATCGGAGCCCTCCTGGAAAGCACCAGGGAGAATTTAACTTTCTGAGGGAATAAAAGGCAAAGAGTTTGCCCAGTGTTTGAGCTCCTATGTACAGGGACAGTTATTCCTCCTCTCAGATCTCCCTCGTCTCATAAGAGGGCAAGTTCTGGACTTAAGACAAGTTCTGGACTCTGCATATTGACCCCAGCTTGGGGTGAAGAGGCAGCAGCAACAGAACTGGCACGTAGGGCAGCATCACGACCAGAGTTGCTCYATCTCAGCACTCTCTGTGCCAGGGGCTGCACACCAGCTCCCCATCACATATTCCCTTACGGGACGAAAACAGCGTGAGCAGCACCCTCCAACTCAACACACAGGCTACTTCCCACTGCTGGAGAGCGATGGAGCAGGGAGAAGTTGCTTCTGCAGCAGCAGCAGAACTTGTAATGCAAACTCAGTGTTTCTATTTGACTCTGTTAGTACTTCCAGAGACACCTGATGCTTTAGCAACGCTACACCAGGAGAGTGCTCTGCTATCTGCCTCCTGCAAGCCAAGCAAGACTTCCTGAAACAACATCTGAATCAGAATCTTCTAGAAATAAATAAATAAAAACAAAAACCCACAAACACTCCACACAGAAGGTGCTTTGATATACCCAGGATTAGCTACTCCTTTAGAACCAACTCTCTCCAGACACAGGCGATGTCCCAAGCCTGTTAAGCCATGCTGCACGGCTGACAACCCGGGCTCTTGGACGATGTTCAAGAAGCTGCAACACAAAGGAAGGACCCCTTGTCTAGGGATGGAGGGCACTAAATGTGCCAGAGGAATCTAGGCCTCCTGCCTCCCTTATCCTCCTGCAGTTCCCTCAGAGCACAAGTTAAGGCTGTAATTGTGCCCAGGCAGCTGCAGAAAACCTTGTACATGGTTCAGACTTTTTTTTTTTTGGAAAGAATCCCAAAGCCCTTTAAAGTTTCACTTGCCTTCCTAGGAACTGCACTTCTCCCCGATGATGGTGGGGAATCGATTTGTATTTCCCCGTGTCTCCTTCTGGTCGAGTCACCGAATAGCCTGCRTACTGCACTCTGTATCAGAAAAGGGAGAGACAAAAAGAAAAGGGCGGGGAAAAAAATAACTGTTGCATTTGCTCTGCCTTCAGTGCTTGCCAAGGCTGCGCAATTAGTGCTCTTACAGTTCCTCCAGTAACCGTAGCTTTGTCTTTCCACCAAGCAGATAAACTGTGCAAATCCCCCCACACCAGTCTAAGCTCCAGGCGAGTTACGCCGCGCTCAGCACCTCAAGGTTTCAAGAGTTCACGCAGGGATTACTTTGACATCACCATCATGGGATATCRCACACGGGGCCAGTAATTTCACAAGCAGTGCTTCCCTGTCAGCATCCAATCTATTGCCTGAGCAGGCTGGAATGCCACCCACTCAAGTGCATTTCCCACCAAATCACTTAAACAGGCCAGCACACAGGGTGCAGCCCAGGCCAGCAGGGGCTGCAAGAGATGAAAATAATTCTCTCCATAGCATATCCAGCCTTCCCCATATAACGTCAAATGTAAAGTCAATCTAATGGACCAGAAAGACTCGGCAGGTGAATGGCCAGCCACCCATGGGAGCTCTGCCCGTCACCCCGCTGGGGACACGGCGCGAGCCGCGGCGCTACCTGTTCCAAAGGTCATCATCCTCTCCGCCCCAGCCCCAGAAGGCGTTGGGGAAGCCATTGATTTTCTGGAACTGCTCCACAGTCAGGCCACTCACTCCTCCAAAGAACTCATTGTACGGGAGCCTGCACGGGAGACAAGGGGTTAGTGGAGGGCGCAGGGAAACGGCCGCCGCAGCCGGTCCGGGCTCATCCRACTGCCAGCTCCAAGTTTTCCAGAGCTGCCCTTCCCCCAGTTGCAACGAGCAAAACCCATGAGCTACAAAAATGTTTTCTTGTATTTCTCTTTTTACATTTATTTTGTACAAAGCTTGGGAAAGAACCCAGAATTGATTTTCTGTCCCTTTAAGAAAATATATATCTAACATTGGCTTCTTATCTCTTCCTATRGCACGGAGGAACACTGGTGCTTACAGATACATGTACTTATCCAGCTTGGCTGCAAAGTGTCTTGGCATCTGTCCACATCCATAATAGTTACGGTCGTTCTCTGGTATGTGGTCCACATCGTGAAAGATGAGACAATCCCAGTCCAGGTCCTTCATTGCTTCCCGAAAGCCAACGTTGAAGAGCATGGCACGGTTAAAGGGCTGGTTACCAGCCTAGGAGAGACAGAGTTTCTTCTCAAGGGAAGCCYGATACGAGCTCGCCTGCTCGTATCTAAATAAGACTTCTAAATAAGAATGAGAATCCAAAGTGCCATTGACCCTAATTCCACTGCTCMACAGAAGTGGTGATATTGGGTCAAYATCACCAGTTCCTCTGTATCAAGACTTAAATAAGACTTAGAATATTCTATCCAGTGTATAATTGCAAATAAACAAACAAATAAATGGATGTTGAATTGTTATTACTCTTATTACTGTGATACTCCCCTCAAAAACCAAACAAACTACACACAAAACCCCAGTTTACTCTAGCTCTTTACCTGTTGCTGTCCAAAAGGCTAATTTTGGTGGAGAAATAATTTTGGTGGCATGTTAAGAGGGACAAAAAATTTCCAATGTCTCCTCCCAAACAGAGTTTAAAAAAATCTAGATCTTTATTTTTCAGATGAAAGTCAGTCTCTAACTTCCCAGCTGCACCACTTTGGTACCGCGTGGCATGATTTCAGCTTCGCAACATGAGCTCAGAAGCAATCATAGGCAAACCTTCTAACCCTGCGGCCCCGCGAGCTCGCAGGTACGGCACGACGAGCCGGCGCTCGGGCTCGCGTTTCTATCGCCGTGCGTGTCATATRCTCCAGGTCAATCCCCAACAAACCAGCTGGGAAGCCCCCACCCCGCGCGGGCCGACCTACCTGCTCAACAACGTAAAAGGCGAACTGTAAGCGTTGCCGCTGCAGCATTGGAATCAGGTGTCTGAACAGGACGGGAAGGTGCTCGTAGCGGTTGCGGAATGGAATCAGGATGGCCACCTGGACGGGAAAGGATTCCTGTCACCACACCARGGCAGAGCGCTCCTGGCAGCCCGCAGAGACCCCCAACCTCCCCATCACTGCTGATTGGAAATTTCGGTATTTGCCTTTTGGGAAACAGTTGCTCCTGAGAGATTAAATCTATTCCTGGCCTTCAGGAATAGAGCCTAAGAGCCTCCATTCTGAGGTCTTCTACCAACCAAGCCAAGAGCAAGAGCAAGGCCAGGTCCTGGCACCAAACTGCCCAGAGGCCTCCACCCTCCAGACAGGAATCCCCAGTGATGCCACCTCCCTCTCTGGGMGAGATGTCCCCAGAGCAGAGAGCAGGGCGAGCTGGATGCTCGCGGCTGGCAGCCTCCTCAGCAGTCCTTGCAGAGGGGCACAGTGACTCGGGCGTCACCACCGCAGCCTCCGTCCCAGCGCTCTGCTGCTCCAGGCTCCACAGCACTGTGCTGCAGGGAGCTCTGTGCCCATTTGCCTGGAGCTGCAGCTCTTCGAGGCTGGAAATGCTGGAGCTCCCCACTAACACCTCCCCGCCGCCAGCCAGGACCCTCCTGCTGCACCCAGCAGTGGCACCGGCGTGGCCTTCCCAAATCCCCCCCTCACCTTCCAGCGCGGCACGCAGTCGCTCGGCTTCCAATGGCCTCCCAGCTTGATAGAGGGGTCTTTTGAGAAGAACTGGTGGATATCTTCCATCGTGATTTCGCTCATATTTACATCAATGGGGCCCTCTGCGGAGGCAGTGGAAAGAGGCAGAGGTGAGAGTTCCCATCCGAACACGCAGAGGTGCCGCTTGGCTCCTTCCCCACTTGGAGCTCTGCCCAACTTCACTCCTGCTTGCATCAAGTGCTAGGGCCAAACACAGGCTGGTCTTTTCCAGACGCCAAAGATGACAGGGAATCCCACTGGCAGGGCTCAGCCTCCCCGCTCCGCRGCTCGGCTCTGCCCAAGCCTTGGTGCTCCTTGCTGCACCAGGCTCTCCGCACTGCAAACCCAGCACCTCTCCGGACCTGCCGCAGCCGAGGGGAACCCAGGCCCAGCTTTGCTCGGGGGGCTCAGCGGTACCTCCTGSCCTACAGCACCGGGGCTGGGGCCGGCCCAGCCAGCCCGAGGGACAGCGGAGCAACCGCTCTACCGCCCGCCAGCCCAGCACTGGCGATGGGAAGGGGCTGGCCAGGCCTTTCCACCAACCCACKGGGCACAATYCCTCCTTTGTTCGTATCTGCCGAGYGACGGGCTCCTGCCCCAGAAAGGAGAAGTGCCTCAGACACAGCAGCGATTAACTTGGGCGATCYGGTAAACAATGATTTCCCAGAGGAAAAGCACGGCTGCAGAACAGCCCGTCCATTCATTGCCCTGCTCCCGCCCTCAGACAGGTGCTAAAGGGAAAAAGGTGAAACATAACTCAGCAGGAGGGGAAGGATGCCAAAACACAAAGCCCAGAAACATGCAGGAGCAGGTAAAGGGGGTGCCGGGGCTGCAGCTACAGTAGAAATTCCGGGCCCCTCACAGGGGATGCTCCAGGCTCGGGTGCCGGCCTCCCAAAACCYGGCATGCACAAACTGTGTGGGCACTGAAGGGGCCCCAGCTGGGACAGGGGCTGGACACGAGCCAGGACGAGGGCTGCAACGTCAGAGATGGGGCACAGAGCTACTCACTCATAGAAGGGAGTCTCTCGGGACAGGTATGGTTTGGGAAGTAGGTAAAATCTTCAGGAAGAAAAGTTGTGGCTTGCAGAAAGGTTTCGTTGTGATTCAAATCAAGAGGATAATCTAGGGTGGGGAAAAAATAGGAAAAAAAAAAAGAGAGAAAAAAATCTACTTAAAGTGCAGGTCTTTGGTCTCTTCAGCCAGGTCCCCACGTCACTGCCCACACAGCCCTTCACCTGTCCCCAAAGCCACCCGGGCATCCCCACGTTGAGCAAGTCCTCATCTCCTCATCTCTGCCACCACCCGACTGGGCTTCCCCCCTGCACCCTCAAAAGACCATGGGACGTCAGGGGAAACCCTGTGGGCACCAGCCGGGCCCCACCGCAGAACCAGCCTCGTTCCTCGTCCAAGAGGGACTCGGATCTTCACCTCCAGGCAGTGCAAACAGATCACATGGTCCTTGGGAAGTTATAAAGTTATTTTACACTTTGTCCCTGAAAGGCTGCAGGAGAGACGAAAGGGGAAGTGCTCCTCAGTGGCTCCTCTCTAAGCTGGCCTTGCAGGAGAACAGTCCCTAAGCACATGTGCTAGCATTGCTGGGAGCAGAGCCTTTTAAAAATACCATCCATTACATCACACGGCCATTCACTTGGTTGGCACCACATGGCATTACCACAGTCCAGGAGGTCAGTGGCACCCACAAGAGCTTATTTCCTCAAAGCCCTCATCCTTTCAATTCCTTTTGCCTCATGAGTAAAAACCCTTCAACACACTCCACCTCCGGACATTTAGGAAAGCTTTGGGGTAACTACAAAGCTCCTGCTTTTGACACCACACAAATGCACCAGTTTTGCATGAGGCTTCTTCAGGCAGGCATGGCCTTCAGATGAGGTACTAGAAAAGTCTGCCCGATGGAGCAGTGTATCAACTACTGCTGAGGATGGTGCTGCAGCTCCGCTTTYTGAGAGGAACAAAAGCCTATTGGAGGGTTTGCCTGGGGATCCCAGGGCACCAGGGACAGGAGCCTCGACCTTAGCACATCTCATTCCCACAGGAGCCCCAAAAGCAGCTCTTTGGGGCCACGAGCACTCGGTCCCATGGCACAGCAGAAGCCTGACACAGACCAGCTCCTTCATGCTCCTGACCCACGAGGTCAAGCTCGCCAGATGCATCCCAGCCCCCTTAGCCTTAAAGAGCATTTAATACTAGCAGCTGTGAGCAGAACAGCAGTCACTAACTGACCCGAAGCAAGAGCCATCCCGGGTTCTCACAACCCCGCTACAAAGCAGCTGTTATTCGGGCACCTATAGACAAGGCAGGTTTCGTGTTTCCCCCTCCCCAGAGCCGTCTGAGCAGCTGAGCTGCGGCTGCAGGTGACCTGCTGGCACAGGGCACGCTGCGAGCACGCACGCAGCATCTGGAGTTATTTTACTAAACCCTGAAAACTGCCCTGTTTTCAACGCAGCAGTTATAACTGTTCAAATAATTAAAGTATGTACTTAGGTTCAAAAGATATCAATACAAAGGAAGTCTCACGTATTTCATACCGAGAGCAATCTACAGTGTAGTGAAAAGAACTAACCTTAAGAGTTAAGGATCTACATTTGATTTACTTTAAGATATGCACATTTCAGTAATTGCATAAACATACTGTGATCTTCATAGCATAAAGGGTGTAGCAAAAGAGAATAATAATAATAAAAAAARTCATACTTCAAAGCTATCTYAARGCAGGGAAGAAGGAATAATTTAAACTTTGTAAAGGAAAGCAGGGAAGGTTGTCTTTACCTGCAATGTCAAAAATCTTTCATTTAGATCTGCAAAGACAACTCATTACCCAGCCTGATATTTCTGCTTGCTCTCTTCTACTGGCAYATGGTATCACCTCAGCAGCACCTTTAATTTGTTAGACTGAGCAGCACCCAAGCTATCTCAGCCAGACCCAAGACAGACTTGCAAACAGAATTGCAGGGCTTTCCAAATACAATAGCTGTTATTTTAGATGCTCGCTACYGCTGTGACTAAATTCCAATAACCAGTTCCCATTAAACTCCTATCACTAGGATACAGCTCTTGATATTGCTCGGCCCTCTATCATGAGCTGACAACACAGAGCAATGCATAAGTGCTTTATGCATAAGTGCTGCCCTTTTTCACTTGCTGAAGCACAGAAGAGACACCTCTTCGCCCAGAGAATAGGAAATTGCTTATTGCATCCGTTATCAAACACTTTTAAAGTTATTAAAATAAAGCAGTTTATAGAAAAATAAACTAAGGGCACAAAATAAAGTGTAGAAACACACTGTGCTTGCAGCAGACTCAGTGGCACCCTGCCAGTCAGTGCTGGGCATCGTTTGTCATTGCCTAGGAATCAAGGCCAGGGAGCCCCATGCACAGGGCAGTGCTGTGTGACGAGCCACTCCATTTGGGCTGTGTCTGGGGGACAAACGTGACACTTSGGAGAGGCTGCTGCTCAGGAAGCTTTAGCAGCATCCTGACTCCCAGGTGCTGTCTCATGCCTGGAGAAGGGACCCAGCTGACAAGTGGGTCTGATGAGCCAAGAAGTGGTTTGGGAGCTGCATATTGCCTTATTTGTCACCTCCAGAAGGCAGCAAGAAGGTTGCATTTTGAGCAAAGCAGCTCTAGAAAACAGGGACGCCTTCCCAAAGTCATAACCAGCATCATGCTCCTTGGCCCTCTCACCAGGGAGGTCACACAGGGATGTCRCATAGGAGCTGCGCACATTGAAACTGTCCTTACTGCTCCAAGCTTTCCAGACATAAGCGGGTATAAATCCAGGTTTGCAGAACTGAAATGGATCCGAAGCATGAGCAAAGCCATTTATTTCAGCAGCAGCAGTAGTAACGGTTTTAGAGCTGMTAATGTGGTAACTATTTCCCTGTCCACTGCACCCAGGCAAGATTTGGAGCAGCTCTGAGGAGGGCAGCAGGCAACAAGGCTCAAATGGACACCGGGGCTTTGCTCACCTCGAGCAGCAGCAGGAGAGGAGCTGACCTCCCTCCCCTTCAGTCCTCACTAGCTACATCCTCTTGCCTCTTATGGTTGATGTTTCCAGCCTTAAAACAGATAAAGCTGGTAGCTCTGGCTGACTTCAGCACTAGAGAAGACTAAGCAGGGTGCAACTTACTTGCAAAGTTTGGCAATTCACCCTTTCTTCACCTTTCCTACTCAAAGTGCAGCCAAACCGGGAAAACAGCCACGTCACCTACTCAGTACATCAGGAATGGATGCTTTTCCAGAGGGGAGACTGAACAGCAAGGATATTGCAGTCCTTCTACTGCAGGAAGAAATTTTAAAGGTAGAAGTTTTATCAGCCCTCACTGAGGAAACCTGTCCTGGGTTCCTGCTCAAGTGCAGAGCTCATTTGACAATCACGAGCATCACCAGAGCCTAATGGTGCTCCTGACTCACTAGTTACATGTAAACACACGCAAACAGTGTCTCAACACGACACCTGCCTGCCCTGCCCTCCGTTGCAAGGAAATGCCTCGCGCTGTTATATGCAAACATGCACATTTCTGCTTCCGCATACCCTGTTTACACCAAAACTTATGTCACATCTATGCCAGTAAACCTTTTCCTAGCATCACAGAATCATGGAAAATAGTCAGGAGTCAGAGCCTGTTACTCTCATCCCTTCCTTCCAGAGTTCAATATATTGCTTATGGCAGAGCTCCAGCCAAGACATTCTGGTTCAGCCTTGCAAGGGGAGAGCAGAGTTTGAGCACAGGCTCTTTTGTGTACATGAGGCAATAGTTGCATGCATGAGTGTGTGAAAGTATTTTAAAATGCAAAGCTAGACCCTTGCACAACTATTTTTCGAAGTCTTTATCCCCAGATAAGAGATGGAGCTAATAGGCTCAATTCCTCAAAAGCAAAGAGACTTTTAGCGCAATATCCAGTCATTTGAGACCTTTCAAGATTTCTACCCTTTACACAAGTTAAAAGGATTTGAATAAATAATAATAAGCAGAAAAAAAGCAATTAGTGTTCCCAGCCCACACTTACAAACATAGATAAATTTCTTTAATGGAGAGTGGTTCAGGTCAAGATGAAGTTTCCAGGGAAGAGGGAAACACTGATTAAAGTGGCAATTATGAAAGGCACACCTGAGTCATTCACACTGCTGTTCCTCTTGGCATAGGCACTGCGGACCACCTGCTCGTAGACCTGAGCTCCTATTGTCCTCATGTTCTCCCGGATCATGATGCCCTGGGCTTGCATCATGAAGAGGTAGGTGTTCACTGCAAGGAAACAGAAAAGAAGTATTTCCATGAGCAACCATTCTTAGGGGGAAGAAATACAAAAGAGAAATATGAGTCTCCTGGAATCCTTCCCAGCACTTGACTTCCTTTTGGCTTCCTCCCACCATGAGGATTCCCACGAGGGAATGAGGGTCACGTGTGCTGAGGTTACCTGATAAAAGCTAGGAAAGGTGCACGRGTTTTCCAGTGTAGGCATGAGCCGTGATTTGAAACTTGTCCGATTAACAAGAGGAACCTACATGGCTATTGCTACCAGTGCAGGCTGTAATTCAGCACGAGAGGTTAAACAGCAATACCCCTTGCTGCGCAAGCACCGAGGCCTAATTATAAGGTATCATTAGATGAGGAAACTCAACCACACGACCGGATGAGAAAATCCCTTCTCAGACCACAGGGAAGCATCATCTAAGATAAGAACAATTTCATTTTCRCAATCTTTGAGCTCGCCTTAAAGGTCACTATTTGGCTAGTGCTTGAAGTGAGGGCCTGCCAGCCTTGCCCAGCTTTGCCTTTCAAGCTGCCCCCAACACCCAAACACCTCAGCCCTGAGGCTTCTGGCACTTCCTCTGCTTAAACTCTCTTCTGGTGATAATGTCACACCGTGTTTTCACAACACTGAAYCTAAGGTGCTCTAACACCCAGATCATCTGCTCTGCCTGTTCATAGTCTCATTCACTGGTGTTACTGACAAAACATGTACTTTGTGCCAACCAACACCAACCAGCAACACCRCAGTGACAGCCTATGTGCTGTATCCTGCACGGCCACCTTGGTAGTCAAGAGCTATTAGGTATGTTCAGCAAGAGAAGAGAGAGGGCAAAGGCAGCCTTTAAATAATACCCTCCTGCTCGTGCTTCTAGCAAAACCCCTGCCCGTTCCAGCCAGGCAGCACTTTGCTCAAGCCACCTCTCAGGGGACAGCCCTTCTGGCCAGTGACCCTGGCCGTTTTTCTCACTATCACACATTTTCCATTGCCCATTACCTCATGTTGCTGCTCTGACTCYACCTGCTCTGGTTTCAGCTAAGCTGACGTGTGGTGCTCGCAAGGACTAGTCCCAAAGCAAACAAGGTYGGACACAACCCTCGCGACGTCAGCAGCTCCCTGCCGCACGAGACGCTCACCCGCGGCCCCACAGCAGAGCCTCCAGCCCCGTTTTACCTCCCATCTGTACCTCTGTTTTCACTGGATTCAAATATTACACTTAATAATGAAGTCTTCAAGTTGGGAAAGATGGAAAGAAAGAAAATCTAGAAGGCTAATCCTATAAGTATACAAAAATCAAAGCAGACTATAAGAAAGACACCAGGCAGGCTGAAAAGACTGACAAGACAAGGGATCAACGGAGATCCGCTGCCTGGGAGGGCAGTAACCAAGGAATTGCCCCCCAGCTGGTTCTCTGTACCAGACATATCACAAGCCTGTAACAGCCTGACATGGGTGGCTGCTGGTGCCAGGAAGCTAAAACTCYCTGCTGAAGTCATCACAAGCCCAGATTAGATAGGGCATCCTGGACATTGTACCAGTATCAGAGAGCAAGGTCGTTGCACAAGCACTACCTACTTGACAAACAGACTCAAGTTTTATTTCCTTTTATACGACAGAATTCAAGTCAATCTCTGGAAAGGTTGCTGAGGTGTATTTCCCAATCACAGTTTTTCCCCTCGCCACCTTACGCAAATATTTGAAAGGGCACCTGAGCTCGGGAGTCATTAGTCATGCCCATGCAGAGCAGGTCTCTGAGCTGCCTTYAGGAATCCCCCAATAGATTTTTCAACGCACTATGCAAGAATATTTTCCTTGTGTCTGTCCTCTTTCAGCGTTCGTGTCCAGATGAACAAGCCACCAACATCAAGCAATTTAAAACTGCTACCCTCAAGCCCAGATAACGCTGAAGATTAATAACTGCTTCCATTGTTTCACCTACAGCTTGTCATTCCAGAGCCTGGAGCCAGGGCTCCATGCAGGCRGGCTGGAGGCAACGTCTCCTCGATGACAGAAAGCTTGAGCAGCTCAAGGTGTTGAAATGTGCAAGAATATTGAAACAAGGCACAAAAAGTGCTTGGCAACTAAATTGCTTCAAATGCCAGGTTAAATGCATWCTTCCAGTCCCCCCTCTCCTACTCATCTTGTGGCAGTGACAGCAGTAGCAGTTACAGGAGYGTGTAATGCAAATGCAGAGTCATCCACAAGGATTAATTTGCCCCAAATTTTTCAGCTGAAGCAGCTTTCCCAGCCCGGTTAGGCTTTATCCGAGTAATTTATTACAGCAGCACAGCAGTAAGCAGGAGTTGCTTGAGCCAAAGCTCTACCTAAATTCACTTCATTAACCTGCCCTGTTCTGGGGCTACCTACATAACAAGGAGTCATTATTGGATGGCTCCATGACCACTGCAGAATAAACACGTGCCCTCATGCAGTTTCTTGGCAAGATGCTCCTGCAGMGCCTATAGACACACACAGCAAGGCCTGCAGTGGGGCAGAAAGAAGGGGACTTCACCCTAGAAGCCCCAAGGGACAATCTCCAAGGACACTTTAAGGCACCAGCACATTAGCAACCTTACAGACCCTGCACATAAAGCCTCGTGCACAGCCCAAGACCCTGCTGTGCTCGCAGGAGGTGCTCGGTCCGTGAACAGGGCTCGTGTCAGCCCCGACTGCAAGGCGAGATTTAGGGAAATGAGAGTCCCTTTAAAAAGGAAAGCATTAGAGGAAATGAGTTATTTAGGGTTTAGTGGTGAATAAGCCATGGGGCTGGCACATACTTGTGGGTTGGAAGAGGAGGTGCGGGACAGCGGGGACGCAGGTCACGGGGCGCATGGAGTTGGCTGGCAGCTCCCGCGCTAGCTCCACAGCCTGCACGGCTGCGAGGGCAGCAGGCTCCTGTGGAGAGGCTGGGAGAACAGCCTGCGCTGGCTGCCTTGAGCTCCTGCCCACGGCAGCTCCTGCCGGCAACGGCATCCCCAGCACCAGGAGCACTGAGTCCAGCTGAGACCCTGATCATAAAAATGGGGAGAAAACGTTGTCTCTTAGCTTCCCTTTCCAGAAAGCCATGCCGCTAAGCACGAGGAGGAGCTCCCAGCTCCTCTCCCTGCTGCAGCAGRGCAGCTGGAGGGCAGGGAAAGCCACGGGGTGAGGACACTCACCAGGACCAGGCTGGGGACAGAGCAGCGAGGGGTGCTCTGTCTGCTGCAGCAAGGCACAGAGCTGAACAATCCTTCAGCTTTTTGGTCCATGCCTTTGCCAGGCTGGGTAGAGCAGGGCTGGGAATGCTGAAGCGAGTGGGAGCAGCAGCGTGAGGGGCACAGAGGCCGCCCAGCACACTGCACGTTAACCCCTTTGCCAAGCAGCTCAGGGGATACCTGCAAAAAGCTCCACCACCAACGTGCCAGGTGCTAAAAGCAAAGCAGCTCCCAGGGCCACATGGGCAAGACTTAAAACATTTCATTTCTCCCCCATGCAACCCAGAGGAGCCCGCTGGAGCTGGGTACAGGGTGGCCAGGGCTGGGCCCACTCTGACGTTTGGGTATTTCGGTGCTGAATTCAATGTCTTTCCCCTGCATCCCCAGCTCCTGCTTCACAGACCCGAAACGCTGCCACTTTGTGCCAAGCACAACCTGGGCAGCACCAGCAGGGAAGGGCTCCCCAGTCCGTCAGGCTGCAGCTCCCTGGAGAAGCTGGGACCCCAAGTCAGAAGGTGTTTGCCTGGTGATGGCCATGAGCGCCTCGCGCGTGGCTCACTAGCACACGGGCCAGCTCTGCCCCACACGGAGGGGCCCGAGCCTGGCACCACCCCAGCCTCGTCCCATCGGCGGCTGCAGAGCCCCACGGGGAGGGACCCACTCCAGCCACGAAGGCAAAGTCCCATCACCTCAAGGAGGCTTCCTGTAATCATTTCTCAGTGGGGATTTTAGGAGCACTTCTAATTACAAAACAGCTAACTCTCTCACGGAAAACTAATTTCACTTTGATGAGAGGCACTAGAAGCATCAGCCGCATGGTTTCCAGTTCAGAGGTTTAGCAGGAGATGGAAGCAGAAAGGATGGATGCAGAAAGGAGGTTTCCTGGTGGCATCGCTGTGGCAAGGGGTGGCTGCCGTGTCCCACACCATGCAGGGGACGGCCGGAGGGGACAAGCACAAGGGATGGCCTGAGGGGACGAGCGCAGGGGACGGCCCGAGGGGACGAGCGCAGGGCCCCACGGGCAGGAAGGGAGGCCAGGTGATTCAGGCAGTCCCGGCCGCCGGAGCGCCGCRCACGGATGCTATCAGCTCCCAGCACAGCTCCAGGCTTTCCTGAGGAAGACCCGGGTCTTCCTTTGCATTAAGATTTAGGGGTTTCCTGCCATGTTTAGCATTATTCTCCATTCATTAGTCCCTCAATCTGGCAGAAGCGCCTAGGGGCTGTTTGTGACTTCCATCCCGTTTCGCAGGAACCCTTTCTCTCGCTGCAGCACGGTCTGCAACGACCTGCAAAGCAAAAACTGCTTTCCAGAGAGCACAGCACAGCCAGCCCAAGTACTAGGGACAGAGAGATGTAAACGGTCTCTCCAGGGCTGGTACCCAGATGGAGCAGAAGGTGCTGCCTCCCTCTGCAAACCCACCAGGAGAGGCTGTGGCACCTCTGAAGGTGCCACAAGTCCTTGCCCTAAAGGTGCTCGTTGTGACCAACACACCATAAAACAACCTGTGGTGCTCCTGGGGCCACACAGAAGCTCCCATCACAGCCAGGGCCACATTCCAGATGCTGCAAGGAGCTTTCGGAGGGCCTGGACACGCAGCACAGCCAGCGGAGTCACGTCTACATTAAGCCTTTTGTTAAGCTCCTCCAGCAGATCCCTCGCAGCGATTCAGCTCCGTTATWCTGAGTAATACAAAGGATTTTAATCACACTCACCATAGACCAAGCCTCCAAGGAAGAGGCAGACAGCTGAGATAGCTACAGGCACATGACAGACTTAACTGGTAAACAAGCTAACTAGGAAATTTAAAAGCACCCCATCATTAATATGCTAGGAGGCCCGTATCCATTAGTCTTCAACTTCAGTGGCACAGGATTCCCTGAATATGCAGGCTGCCAAAATAACAAATAAGAGTTTGGAAAATTTAATTTTAATGTCATTACTGTAACTTGGCCCTTTGTCTATAAATAGCACAGGAAGGAATAATTTGATACATTAAGTGGTCCAATAATTAACAATGCAGCAGCCTGGAGCTGGTAAATGCAACTTGCCAGTTTGGGGAAACATTGGTTTAGCAGCAAGCAGGGAAGGAGAGACTGCAGCGATGTCTGACCAAAACCTGACTGCCAGGATCCACACACAGATACTGGATACTTGGAAAAAAACAGTCTGTGAGGGCTTCATCAAGGGAAAAAAAATATATATATATATATATACACATAGATATACACACATATATATCCATCCATATATATATATATATATGGACCACTAGAATAATCTGCAAATTTCTTACTGTTTCACTAGCAAGTTTCACTAGCAATGCCAACAGTATCCCACATAACATAACCTATAGATATAGGGGAGGGGAAAAAAAAGGAAAAAAAAGAATCAAGTTTCCAAAGGAACTGAGCATTTTCTACACTGAAATGTTCATCTGAAGGAGCCTTTCATGCTGATAGGCAAGATGGATGCAAGGAAGGAGAACAGAAGTTGGTGGGGAACCAAAGGAAACATCAGGCCCGCTTATGAAGTTGCGAGCAAGAGCATTAAGTCACATTGCCCAGGACAGGCAGCCTTGGTTAAACTGACAGCGAGGGGCCGAGCGCTGGCTGTGCTTGCCACGAGGCCCCACACAAGCAGGGCTGGAGGCGCAGGAACCAGGGCAGCGCCTCTGGGCAGCACCAGGAAGGTCCGAGAAGAGAGCGGGGCTGCCCGTGTCCCCAGACACCCTCCACAAGAGCTTCACTCATGGGCTCCTCCTGTGACATCTGTGCTCCGGGAAGGCTGGAGCCCTGAGCACAACAAGCATCTGGCTGCGTTCCTACCACCCCTGCTAGGGAGATGCTGGTTCTCCTGCTCTACCTGCGGTCCAAGGGGTGCAACCCCACGTGGTGGTAGCCCCTGCTGCCCATCCTGGCCCCTTGGCAGCTCTCCCTGGGCCACGCTCCACACCAGCCTCGCTCCCCTCGCCAGGGATGAGGGAATATCGAGATGCACCGAGACGAGCATCACTGYGAGCCCCCCAAAGCGCGGGCCGGCTCCGCGCTCGCTGCACGGTTAGACGCTTCATTGGCACAGGGAGACGGTCGTTCAGCTCCCCGCGGGCGGCACGCGCCGCAGCCCAGCGCTCGCTCCTCCTCGTGCCCGTCGGGAGGCAGCAGGAGATGCTCCCGTGGGCCACGCGCCACGGCAGGAGAACCGGAGCCTGCTGCTCATGAGGTGAGCGAGGAGAGGGCTTCAGTTACACAGGAAAAAAGCGCAATAACATAGGCCAGCCCTTGGGCACGCAAGGCAGAAGGAGGGCACATGCACGTCCCCCCAGTGCCACCGCTGTGCCCAAGATGGGCACGTCCTGCACAGCTTTGGCCCCTTCACAGGCGCACACCGAGAATTTGAGGCAGATTGGAACCATTCGTCTTTTTCCCCCCTCTCTTCCTGTACCACAGGAATCACTTCTGCCAAATGTCAGGAAAGGAAAATAATAAATCAATAAACTGCCAGCAATCCCCTGTGCCACCATGACATACATCAAACAAGGAGCTATAAGACACGCAGGAGAGGAGGTGGAATCTGAGGTTATTCTTTTCAGGAAACGCATTAAGTTGGGAGCTTTAATCCTAGCTTGCTTAAACTGGAAAAGGACAGCAGGAATAAAGCTAGACCGCACAGATAATAGAAGACAGGCTGGGCTTTAAATTAAAATTACTATACACATCCCACACCATTTAAACAGATTTGGAATCACCAATTTGTTAATCTTCCAAATTAGAAGGAGATTAACTATGCCCCATTGGAGATTATATATTATTTTTAGCCTGACAATTTTAACAGTGTCATGGAATTACTGGTGCGGTTAAGTTTAATTCTTGCCATGCAGCCCAACCTTCATTTTCTGAAGCATTAACACTCTGCCTTCCACAGATGAAGCAGAGAACAGGCCAGTCATTTAGGATATTCCAGTGAACATACAAAGACCTGATTTTCCAGCCCTGTTTTACAAGTTCAGCCCAGCTGAACAAAAAGGGTTCTCACATGCGCAGCCTCATGCCTGCTGCAGCCGAGCTGCTCCTAATGGGGGTCCAAGCTTTTGTTTCTGGTCAGCGGTTTGCCTCTTAAACCAGCCTTGACTGCTCGAGTTAACATGCATGAAACAAAACACCCTGCCAGTYGTCAGGCTTAAGCGCAAGCGCAGGATTTGTGGCTGCAGCATCAAGGGCTGCGCTCGGTCTTCAGACTCGGTCTTCCTCCGGCAGGGCCCGTGGTAGCCGATGATGCCATTTACGGCTGCAGCAGGAACCGTGCACGCGCAGCAGCCCCCAGGGGACCCATTTCTTGTCATCACGATGGCACAAGCGACCCCGGGGGGCTCCGATGCCGCCCACAGGCTGCTCAAGGCAGSCCCAGCTCTGCCGCGCTGCTCTGGATGGGCACGAATGACAACACTTATCCCATTAGCATCCAAGCACCCTGTCCCACACRCTCAAGGGACCACCCCAAGCAAGAGCATGTCCCTGACCACAAAATCCCAGTTAAGCTGCCTTTGGATGTCCCAGCTCCATGACGGAGCTAGGACACCCAGGTCCAGCCTAACCCAAAATACTCCGGGCA